TGCTGTGAACATTAAACAAATGATTAAAATCAAGCAATGCATAGCAGTTTTTTTGAGAGTGATGTAAATAGAGGGCCTTGGTGCACACTATGGAAATGATAAGCCTGAAAATGGCCCAATTTTTTCATAGAAATTATGTTTAATAAACATAGAGATTGACCCTCCCCATCTTTAACCTTAAAATTTATATTTGTCTTATCTGAGTGCCTTCCTCAGGAAACCAACCCTCAGGCAAGGGACTGAAATTTACCAGATACCGCAAATCACCACATCCAGAAAGTGTGATGCCAGATCCCTCACTCTTGTGATTGTTTCTTTATCCCTCCCTAACACTGGCTCACACCTGTAATCCCAGCATCTTCCAGGTCCTGAAAGCCCCAAACAATGTGGGGAGGGGGAGGGGCAAGCGGAGGGCATTTTATACCACAGACAGGAATAGTTTCCACTCCTTACTAAGGATGGAAAGTACTAGAGGGGAGGAGAAGGAGCCAAAAAGACAAGACTACTTGGTGAGCCTTGCCTACTGCTTGTGATTGCCAGGTATCTGTGGTTACATTCTGAAAATTACTTCCTAAAGAAATTCTTTTGACCATTTTCCCAGACAGTTGTTCTGGGGGAGGGGAGTGCTGTGAAAGATTTGCCTCATCTTAAAGGATAGAAGTTTAGAAGCATTTCATTGTTGTAGTAATCGAAACCCATGTACGTCACATCTTCATCAACATCCCACTTGCCGATCTTGCCTGGCAGTGGATATTGCTGGTGAGGATGAGAAGGGTAGGGGAAGAGAAAGGAGTCTTCCTGAGGTGAAGGGTATGCAGGGGGCTGGACGTAGCTGTTGAAATCCACATGGACCTTGTCTTCATAAAGATTACTCCCTGGATTCGGCCATAATGAGTGACAGCTGGCTTTGGCAGCCGATGGTTCCAGTGGAATCTGCTGGTAAAACTGTTCTGAAGAGTTCTGGGAAGAAGAGAAGTTGTAAGGCCAGCTGGTCACAGGAAAAGCATAATTAGGGTAACAGCTGTCATTGAGGGGATTTCTTCCCAAAGCAGCGTTTCTGTTCCATGTTTGCAGATCGCTGGGATCCGAGTAGACTCCAGAGGTAGAAGGATGGAGCAGGTCTCCACTGCTGTAGAGCCTACTGCCGGACAACTTGCGTTTCTCATGGAGCTTCGTGGGGTCCAAGGTGGAAGTCAGGTCGGGCAGATCCGTGGATCCCCCCGGACCATAACTCTTGGAGAAGGACAAGCAATCATTGAGTGAGTTCTGCTGGGGAGCGTTAGCCATTAAATGTCCACTGTAACTACTAGGCAGTTGGACGCTTTCCTGGAAAGGCCAAGTTAAAGGCAAACTTCCCTGACTTTGTGTTTCACCTGGAAGAGACTGGAAAGGAAAGAGAAATGCTCGTGTTAATAAGTTAAGCAAAGCGATGCCACCGCATAGGCCCCCGTGGGTTACTGTACAAGTCAGTGCTCTGTCAGATGTTCCTCATTCCTTGCATACTTGCACAAACAGAGCAGTTTCACTACAACTGTGCAAGACGACAGAAACAAAGGCTGCCTCTGTTTCCCTTCTGGATCTTGCTAACCAGTAGGAGATGTATTTCTCTTCATTCTGTGAAGACCTGAGTGTGTTTAAGATTTTTCACACTCAAGTGCAAATCTCATATGCTAACTGCCTTTCTGAAGAGACTTAAGGAACCATGTAAGAAAAATCAAACTACAGCTTCAAAGATTTCTATTATGCTCAGTACAACTCTCAAGGTCTCGCTATTATCATTCCCCGTCCCTTGATTTTTCTGTATTTTAGTGCTAGTCAGAGTCTGATAAACCAGGATTGCTGTTATTTGTGTGGTGTTTTTTTTTTTTCCACCTTAAGAGACTTTTCTCTGAACTCATGGGAATTTCTGTTGAATCATAAATGGGACCTCTGGAAGTGGTACAATTTATTTATTTTTAAGTTTTTTAATATAGAAATGGAGTCTTGCTATGTTGTCCAGACTGGTCTTAAACTCCTGGGCTCACACTATTCTCTCTCTCGCCAACCTCCCCAAGTGCTAGGATTATAGCATGAGCCACCGCACCCAGCTGGTTACATTTATTTTTATAAATGGAGGAAGTAGATTGTTCTCCCGTTCACCATAGGAAAAGAATCTGGTTGGAAATTAAGTTATGTTCTTGATTGGGTAAAATTAACAGAGGATAGTTTTAGAGGGTAGAGAGAAAGGGCCATAACCAGGTACAGTGTGTGGAGGGAAATGCCCTTGGACTTGTCCCATGGCTGGAACAAAGGATGAGGGGACAGCCATCGAGGTTCTAGGGCTCACATTTTCCTACAACAGATTCAAATCACAATTTTTAAGATAAGGTACATTTAGAGCCTCCAGGGATAGATCAGCTCTATCTCTGTTCTCCTAAAAAGAAATGCAGAACTTTGAACAGCAGAAAAAGTATAGGAATCACTATCACTATTTAGTACTATCACTTAATACTACCACCATGAGGCAGACAAACCCACAAACTTGATATGTTTGTTGCCCATGAAGCAATGGACTTCACATCATGTTTGTCTGCAGGGAGTAATTGCCACCCCGGATGGCTATGATGTTCAGAAACTGCTTACTTATTTCATCTTGGCAGAATGTGCTGAGGAAACAATCTGCTTAAGGGATAGATAGAAATTTGGGGGGCAGGGCGGAAAAGCATGAGGCTAATATTCTGTGGCTATCATTTCAGTTAGTTTTGGTTCTACTAGAAACAAAATTTAGAGTGCCAAATATAGGCTAGGTACTCATTCAAGTTCCTCCTGCTAATTGTAGTATGCTGCATTAATGAATTGTAGTATATTGTGTAGACAGATGATTCTGCAATGTCATGGAATCTATGATCGATGGTGGAAAATCAAAGATGGTAGAAATCGAGTAAAACATCAAGATACATTTCCTTGGTGGATTCTTATTTGTGGATGAGTCTGACCGTCTATGATTTTTGGCTTTCATTTGTCAGCAAGGGACCTGGGAAACCTACTGTCCCCACCATCAAGGTGGTAACTTGCTGTATATTTTGAACTCACACGAGGAAAGTTACCTTTGTCTCTGGATTCCTCTTCAGGTTCAAGGAGATGGAAGAAGATGCTGTGTGTACTTTCCGTACGGTTCTTCTGGCCTCAGCTTCTGACTTGGTTTCTGGCTTTGGATGGTCATGCTCTCCCTTTGACTGAAAGGAGACAAGTAAAAAGGAAACACTATAACCACAACTAGATTGTGCTTCAGGTGAGTATGTTTTCACCCCGGGTCCTGCCCCATGTCTGGGTGGTGGTGCAGTTGCCTATTATATTGAAATTGCATGAACCTTTCAAGAGGCTCCCAAGCCCACCATGTTCCTGCCTGCCGGTCCCTATTTCTGACGCTTTTCCCCACCCAGCAAAGCCATGCTCAGAGCGATGAATAATGCTAATTAAATGCTCCTATGGTATGGGCAGGACACAAATACACTGTGTGCCTTATTTTATCTTCAGTAAGATCCTTCAGGCACATACCATTATGATCACCCCCAGTTTACAGAAGAGGAAACTGAGGCATGGAGAGATTACACCACCCGGGTAACCTCCCCTAGCAGAGAGGGACCTGGGATTCCCCTAGCTGGAGCCAGCCAAGCTGAGAAACAATAGCTCAACAATCAGGAATTTTGTGGGCAGATGGATAAAAATGATTGGTACCTTGACATCAGACATGGTGGGAATAGTTAACACCACTGAAATTAACATATGCTACAGATCAGGACATTTGCTCTTTAGAGAGCTAGTTGATCAGCTCTGCACTGATTCAAACCCAGGCAAACTGAGTCCAAGTCCATTCTTCAGCCCTGTTTATACCACTGACCCACCAGTGTTTCTCACACATTTTACAGAAAACTGGGTCTTGAGAAAGGAAAGTTGCTTATTCAGGTTTACAGAGCTAGTTAAAAGTCAGAGCTGGAGCCGGGCACAGTGGCTCAATGCCTGTAATCCCAGCACTTTGGGAGGCCGAGGCGAGAGGATTGCCTGAGCCCAGGGGTCTGAGACCAGTTTGGGCAACTTGGCAAGACCTCGTCTCTACAATAAATCCAAAAATTAGCTGGGTGTGGTGGCGCACACCTGTGGTTCCAGGTACTTGGAAGGTTGAAGAGGAAAGATCATATGAGCCCAGCAGGTCGAGGCTGTGGTGGCCGTCAGTGTGCACTGCACTCTAGACTGAGTGACAGAGTGAGACTCCAACTCAAAAAAAAAAAAAAGTCAGAGCAGGTATTTGAACTCAGGTTTGTTGAAGGCCACTGTTCTAGCTGATGGTGACCAGATTAGCCACTGCCTTTCCTGGGAAGCTGGAGGCAGAGGCAGTTCCCCTCATAGGGCTCTCCAGCATGTCAAACCTTTGTTAGATGTATGGGGTATGCACATATGCTCCCTGAAAGAGTCAGCCCTTAGAGTTGGGTCAGGATCTCAATCATCTGTGTATGTCTAGCCTCTGGTGAAACTCCTCTGTAATGAAACTCTGCAAACTTTGTCATATTAAAGAGACAGAGAACCACACAATGAACTCAAATCCAACCTGGAAAAATATATAGCGTCCTTCGTGCCTCCAGAAGTTGGTGACTGGGAAACCCCCATGGCCTCGGCAAGGAACAAGCTTCAGCGGTGCATCACAGTTGGGACAGCGTTTCCCTACAGAAGAGCAGAGGAAGGTGACCACTCCTGGCTGGACTGTGTCTGTTGACTCCTGAGTCTGTGTAGCCCTGAAGATTTGAGACTTTGACTCCAGGATGGCAGAGAATAAGCCCAAGCTCTCCCAATGGATGGAGGAACTATACCACCAGGGTAACCTTCTCTGGTAGTGAAGGACCTAGGGGTTCTCCTAGCTGGAGCTGGCCAAGCTAAGATCCCATAGTGGGCTTTTATGGGCTCCCATCCACTGGGTATAACCCCTGATTCCAGAAAACTTGGCCACCAGAGAGGTCCAGAAAATTCTCACACATGGATAGAGTAAATGGGGTATTTCACAGGTCAAGGAAAAGCTCTTCTGAGTAGAAAACCTCTCCCTACTTATTTACTGATTTTTGAAATTCTTTTTAGAGAGAGAAAAAAAATTCATTTCACAAGTAGAACTAAGAATCAAGGCACAAAGCCACATGAGAGACAGAGAACACAGCCACTAAATTTTCACAAAGGTGTAAATGACTAAAAGACCAGATCCTGTTTGAGAGTAAGTTTTCAAGGCAAATCACTAGGAAACACATGAAAAAACTTGAAATCCAAAGGGGACAAGGTGCAGGGAATATAGAGTATGTCTATTTCACAATCCAGTGATTGTGTTATAAAAAATGAACAAATATCTCAGCATGTGCTTATGACGTGAGCCTAAATGACAGAAATTAGTCTAACCCCCCCCCCATTTAGTCTTGCTGCTGTTCAAGACAGACATACATTGAGACCATTTAGAGAACCATTTCCCAAGAGGTCAGGTGGCAAGTCTAATCAACTGTTTTCTCATAAATGTTACAAGGGCCACCGATGAATTAATGATCGTCCTCTATGTGGTACACTTTCCTTTGGGCAAGGGTCCCGAGTTGGGTGCCTTGACCCAAGGCAACGGTTTTGATGGCAGGTACTCTGAGCATGGTACATCTGTGGGGTCCGTGCTGGGCCCCAAGGGGTCTGATTGACTCCCCCGTGATATGCTCATCTTGGGACAGCCTTGGCCTCCACTTTCACCAGGTATGAGGGTGGGGCCCTAGAGATATGCTGGGAGACAGAGGCCCATCTGGGCAGGGGCGTCAGGGGTGTGCCCATGCCACCAAGCCCCACTCACGCTGCTGTTTCTGCCGGGCTTTGTCACAGATGGCAGGTCTCAGATGGATCTTGCGCCCTCCCTTGGCAGAGCAGTCACGGCTGCACACCACCACACCCAGGCAGGACTTCTTGAGGATGCGGGAGTTGTGGTTGTTGGTGTTGCGCATTGCCCAGCTGCTCAGATGCCGCTGCGCGCTCTTGTCCTCCGAGCTATAGATGTGCTTCGTGTAGGAATCCGGCCACTCCCGGAACCGGTCGGTCTTTTTCACATTCTGACAGAAACACAGTGAGAGCTATTATAGTTTAAATAAAAAAACAGGGCACAGTGGTTCATGCCTGGAATCTCAGTACTTTGAGAGGGTGAACTGGGAGGACTGCTCTTGGGCAGGAGTTGGATCAGACTGGGCAACATAGCAAGACCCCATCTCTACAACAATAAAGATACTCAGCTGGGCATGGTGACGTACATCTGTAGTCTCAGCTACTTGGGAGGCTGAGGCAGGAGGATGGCTTGAGCCCAGGAGTTCCAGGCTGCAGGGGGGCTATAATCATGCCACCGCACTCCAGCCTTGGTGACAGAGCGAGATCTTGTCTCTTAAAAAAGTTTTTTTACCTGGGCAGCGAGACCTCATCTCTACAATAAATTAAAAAATCAGCCGGGTGTGGTAGCGCATGCCTGTAATTCCGGCTACTCGGAAGGCTGAGGCGGAAGGATCGCCGGAGCCCAGCAGGTTGAGGCTGTGGTGGCCGGGAGCGGCCACTGCACTCCAGTCTGGGTGACAGAGTGAGACTCCAACTCAAAAAAAAAAACAACAACAAAAAAGTTTTTTTAATTAAAAAAATAAAATAATTTAAGCTAGAAAACTCAACTGCCAACCGCTGTAGAGCCAAGAGACATGAAGGATATTTTGTCACTTAAGAGCTGGGCCAGATACCTTTGTCCAACACCATTTCTGACAGTGGGATTTCAAGCACAGCACAGCAGTGGCAAGTGACTGCCGGTTCTACGGAGCAATCAGTGACTGGTACAAGATGAGTCATAGCCTCTCTGAGTTCTATCTGACTGATGTTTTCTCTAGCCCTCAGTGATGAAAATAGTGACCGTTTCTCAGTAAGAATTTCTGAGGGTGAAGTAATGCTATGCTCTTACACAATAACTAGAAAACAGAGCTAGGCACAGTGGCTCGAACCTGTAATCCTGGCCACTTAGGAGGCTGAAGTGGGAGGATTGCTTGAAACCAGGAGTCTGAGACAAGCCTGAGCAACATAGTGAGAGCTTGGTCTCTAAAAAATAAAAATCAAAAACTGTGGAAAACATTGCGGCAGGATAGTGAAATAATGTTGTATACCACATTGTGGTTACCTTATTGATCCTACAGGTTTATGCCAAGTCACCAGATAGAAGCAGTGGGAAGAACAGGGAGGCCTGGTCCTGAGAGGTTCTGAGAGCCACTTCCTCCCCACAGATAATTTCTTCCTTTTTCTCTACCCTCATATTCATGCACCTCAGATAAGTAAGGAAGAGCTTATTTTGACCAGAAACTTCTATTTCTTGCCCAGGACTGGCACTATTCCTTCTACATGAACATCTGACTAAACTCTCTTTTTTTTTCTTTTTCTTTCCATTGAACAATGACCCCCCCCACCTCTGATCTTTTAAAGGAGAGTTTTAGCCAGGCAGGGTGGCTCACACCTGCAATTCCAGCACTTTGGGAGGCAGAAGCAAGAGGATTGCTTGAGCCCAGGGGTTCGAGACCAGCCTGGGCAACTTGGCGAGATCTTGTCTCTACAATAAGTCAAAAAATTAGCCGGGCGTGGTGGCACATGCCTATAGTTCCAGCTACTTGGAAGGCTGAGGGGGAAGGATTGCCTGAGACCAGCAGGTCTAGACAGAAGTGGCTGTGAGTGTGTGAGTGTGCCACTGCACTACAGTCTGGGCAACAGAGTGAGACTGTGACTCAAAAAAAAAAGGAGAATCATCAAGCAGTCTCAGCAACTCAGTAATCAAATTTAGCCCATGCACATCCCTGTGGCTTTTGGAAACCTGGCATGGTATAAGAACATTTTTCATCTAGAAGATTCTAGAAGGTCAAGACAGAAGATTCTAGAAGTTTCAGAAGGAGAGATTAGGATGTTCCTCCTTTGCTTTCCACAAGAAAGCACAGTACAGAATATGAAAAAAGACAAATTCAGAAGGAAAAAAAGGAGACGTCAATGTCAGGATGGCTGGGTTTTTGTTGTTGTTAGACTTCAAGTTTGGAATGTGCCGAGAACATTGAAACACGAGACTCAGGACAAGTGACTTTGTCTCTGAAGCCTCATTTTGCTCCTCTCTAAAGCGGGGACACTGATAAAATCTGCCTCGCAAAAGCGCTGTGAGTGCAGGGATGTTGTAAACTCTAAATCCCATAGAAGGATGCTTGTTTGAAGGGAATGTCACGGGGACAGAGGTGGCCTGGAGAAGGCATAAATAGGAGGTTTATGAGAGGCAGTACGTACATGAGAGGTAGTACCACTCAGTGATTGTAGCTGCAGTCTATACACTAGACCCATAGGCCAAATCCAACCCACTGCTATCTTTGCAGATAAATTTTTGTTAGAACACAGCTATGTTCAGTCATTTACGTGTTATCTGTAGATGTTTCTACATGACCACGGTCTAGAGTTGAATAATTGTGGCAGAGACCGTGTGGCCCACAAAGCTTAAAATATGTGTTATCTAGTGCTTCACAAGAAGTCCGAGGCGCCTGGCTATGAGCATGGGCTCTGAAGGCTCAGGCCTGGGTGTGAGTCTAAAGGAGGTTCCTTTCCTCTTAGAGCCTCTGTAAAATGGCAGTCACAGGAGTACCGACAGGGATTTTTGAGCATTGAATGAATGACTAGACACAGAGCACTGAGAACAGTGTCTGACACACAGCGGGTTCCATCTCCATGCTGTTGTGATTCTACTACATTTGGAGCCGCCCACAACCAGCCAACGTGGCCGAAAGAGCCGCTGGCTTACGGGAGAGAAAAGACTCTTGAGAGGTTACTTCATGCTTTAAACCTTACCAAGCCGACTGCAAGACAAGAGTCCAAGTCCCTGAAAAACAAAAACTGAACTGGCACACCTCGTGTTCCATGACCTTTCCTCTCTGAGCAATGGCCATGGCTGGCTCTACATGTGCTGCTGTGGTTGGGGAAGGGGACGGGTAGATATCATAGGCGGTGGCATCCTGAAAAGTTCCCTGTGGTCCCTCAGGCAGCTAGGCAGTTTCCCAGAGGGAGGCACAGTCAGGCCAAGGTGCCAGTGGGACCATGTGCTTTTCCCAAATCCCTCCCTCTTCTCCCCAATTCCAAGTCATCCCTGGCTTGATGAGACTCAATGCCAGGGCTGAGAGGGTCCCAGGCAGCATGCTTTTCTCCACACACCTCTCCCTTTGTTTTCCTTCTGAATGAAAGATCCAAACCATACTTCTTGGTTTTCTGCCACAGAAATGCCATAGAAAACTTCACAGAGTATTTTACCTTTTGAAATAATAAAAATGTGTACTTTCTTCTAATAATGTGGGTTGTAAACTATTGGTGGTGCTTTGGGAAGCTGAGGCAGGAAGATTGTTTGAGCCCAGGAATTCAAGACTAGCCTGGGCAACAAAGCGAGACCCTGTCTCTAAAAAAATAGAAAAATCAGCTAGGCATGGTGGCATGCGCCTGTAGTCCGAGCAACTCAGGAGGCTGAGGCAGAAGGATTGCCCGAGCCCAGGAGGTTGAGGCTGCAATGAACCATGATTGTGCCACTGCACTCCAGCCTGGGTGACAAAGTAAAACCTTGTATCAAAAAACAACAAACAAAACACAGCAACAACAAAACTATTGATGGATTTGAACTAGTCCAATACAAAGTACAGTTGTCAGGATGGCAGAGACAAGGGTCAGGTGAACTTAGAGAAAAGCTGAAATTTTTGTGTTTTTAACGTGAGTAAGCCAAGTATGGTGGTTAACACCTGTAATCCCAGCATTTTAGAAGGCTGAGGTGAGAGGATTGCCTGAACCCAGGGATTTGAGACCAGCCTGGACAACTTGGTGCGACATTGTCTCTACGATTAAAAAAAAAAAAATTAACTGGGCATGGTGGCACACGCCTGTGGTTCCAGTTACTTGGAAGGATGAGGCCGAAGGATCACCTGAGCCCAGCAGGTCGAGGCTGTGGTGAGCTGTGATTGCGTCACCGCATGCCAGCCTAGGTGACAGAGTCAGGCCCTGACTCAATAAATAAATACATAAATAAAGTGAGTGGCCCCTTCAGTCTCAGTCTGGTCACTGCTGTAACTCCCATGAACCAGGAGGAGGGGAGTATATTTGTGTAGGTATCTCAGATGTTCCAATTAAAGCAGACTCCCTGCCTCTAGTGAAAGAAATTATCTCTGCCATTTTTTAAGCTTTTTTTTTTTCTGACAGCCCCTCCATTAATAATGCAGAACTAATTTTGACAATGTTGCAGACTGTGAAAATTGCTAAGGAGTAAGTGTATTCCCATCAAGTTAGTCTCTGGGCTATTTTATTCATGCACAGTCTTTTGACCAGGACATTTAGTGGGGTCTTAAATATCTTTTGATACTGAAATTAGGAGAAAACCCAGATCCCAATAATGCAAAGAAACCCAGGTGTGAAATGGATAATAGTGATTTCTAGAAGCCTTTTAAATGTAAGGCCTCAGGTAAAACTTTAAAAAGAAAGAATAATCATTTCTTTATCTTGTTTAGCAAATCCTCACAAAATATTTTCTTCTTTTTAGATCCTTTGTTTATTTTAATTTCTAACTTGTCATGAGTAACTCTTTATTTTTCCTCTTGGTTAAGAAGTTTATAATTGAAAGGGAATATTCCTAAGGTTTCCAACATGTAAATCTAACTGATTTATATTTTATAATCTCATGGGTAACATCATTGGGGTTTAATTGATATTTCTATGACTTCTATATACGGTTTTGCACTGACATTTAACCCTCTAACTCACTCAAAATCACTGTAACTCTGCAATTCTAAAGCACATTTGCTCTTTTCTTCATTCTAACTTATTCAACTACTTGAAGTTTTTTTTTTTGTTTGTTTTTTGAGTCGGGATCTCACTCTATTGCCCAGGCTGGAGTGCAGTGGCATAATCACGGCTCACCACAGCCTCAAACTCTTGGGTTCAAGCAATCTTCCCGCCTCAGTCGCCCGAGTAACTAGGACTACAGGTGCACACCACCACATTCACCTAATTTTTTGAATTTTTTGCAGAGACTAGGTCT